GAGGTTAGAGCACGATCTGAGAATGTTTTTGACAATTCGGTGTATGTTTTTCTTAGTGTTGTTTCGATGTTTCGGGATCCCTATCATCTTTCATTTGAGGACTGTGTTTTTGTGCCTTGTGTGCCCAACCTATGAAGGCCCGAAACCAAGCCAAAAATCAATTGTCTTCTATTTGAAAATTGCGTTTCATGCGTTTGGGATCTGTCGAACTCATGGGGGTACAAACCAATATCTTCTATTTAAAACCAATTTGGTGTAACCCTCTGGATTCCCTCATGAAATATTATCTTCTATTTGAAAAGTGTTTTTCAGTACTCCTCGGATATCTTCTATTTAAAAGATCAACAGCATTTCAGATAATCTTATTAAAACAAGAAATTTGAATCACCATCCCCCAATCAAAAAAGCTAAAGAACCGAGGGCTTTTTAACAGTTTTTCACCGACCCCCCCAAAAGGCGGGAGTGCAAAAGTACCTTCGGCCGGGTCCCACTTCGGAGGTACTTTTGCACTCCCCTCTTCGGGGGGTCACCCGAGTCCGGGCGTCAATGTTGTATTGATTTTATATAATTTTCCTGCAAAAACCACAACAATGGCAGTGGGGCAAACGATTTTTGAATAGAAGATATTGCAAAGATCATCCCAGGGTTGAGGTGTTTATTGTTGGATTTTTGGTCATTTGAGCTACTTTTGCATTCTGCAATATCTTTTATTTAAGACGCCTTTGGCCGCACCCCCAAAATGCATTTTCTATTTCAAAAATATTAAATATCTTGTCTAACCGTGGGGAAAAGTATATATTGACCGAACGGAACTTAGAACCTGACTTTGGAAATTTGCCATACCCCGAAAAAGTACCCGGAACTACCCGCCCAGATTTGGGTAAAATTGATAAAAATCATGATATTTTTACGTTTTGCGAAACTGTTCACCGTAATCAGAACTTAGAACCACTACCAGAAATGGTTCTCGGAGAGCCAAAAATGACTACCCTCTCGCAGTTTTTTACCCAAAAAGTACCCGTAAAACTAGCTGAGTAATATGATGTGTTGTTTGATGGATTGAACGAAAGATTACCTAAAATCATCATAAATGGGTGGTACATGTCACTGTATAAAGCATCAGAAAGCGTTGCCAAACTCGCAACCGCCCCTTGCCATTTCTATTTGCACAGTCAGAAAGGTGGATGAAGGCATGACAAGGTCAAACTCCTGGAAGCCAAAAATGGGGGAAGATTGACTAGTTTTGGTGTTGACATGTTTTTCTCAAACTCCTGGAATCCAAAAAATGGGGGAAATTGACTAGTTTTGGTGTTGACATGTTTTTTCTCAAACTCCTGGAATCCAAAAAATGGGAAAATTGACTAGTTTTGGTGTTGACATGTTTTTTCTCAAACTCCTGGAATCCAAAAATGGGGAAAATGGATTAATTTTGGTGTTGACATGTTTTTTCTCAAACTCCTGGAATCCAAAAAATGGGGAAAATTGACTAGTTTTGGTGTTGACATGTTTTTTCTCAAACTCCTGGAATCCAAAAAATGGGGGAAGATTGACTAGTTTTGGTGTTGACATGTTTTTCTCAAACTCCTGGAATCCAAAAAATGGGGAAAATTGACTAGTTTTGGTGTTGACATGTTTTTTCTCAAACTCCTGGAATCCAAAAAATGGGAAAATTGACTAGTTTTGGTGTTGACATGTTTTTTCTCAAACTCCTGGAATCCAAAAATGGGGAAAATGGACTAATTTTGGTGTTGACATGTTTTTTCTCAAACTCCTGGAATCCAAAAAATGGGGAAAATTGACTAGTTTTGGTGTTGACATGTTTTTTCTCAAACTCCTGGAATCCAAAAAATGGGGGAAGATTGACTAGTTTTGGTGTTGACATGTTTTTCTCAAACTCCTGGAATCCAAAAAATGAGGCAAATTGCCTAGTTTTGGTGTTGACGGACAAAGGGTAAGATATGGAAATGTAAAGTTGCCCCTAAAAACAATGTCTTCTTTCAAACGGGTTTGAACAGACATGCATAGATATAGATATATATATATATAAATATATCCCTTGTCTTACAGAAATCGGGAGCTGAAATAGAACACAGAACGTATGTTTTGTGGGAAAACATGGAACTGCATAAAGCCACTGGTGTTTTAGGAACTAAATGAAATCCCATTGGCAATTGAGCTGCCCATAAAATGTGGGGAAATGATTGGAAATCATTTACACCTACATACATACATATATATATATATATGTAATACATACATATATATATGTAATACATACATATATATATATATATGTAAATATATATATATATATATATACACATACATATTGAAATATATACATATGTTTTTCTCAAACTCCTGGAATCCAAAAAATGGGGAAAATGGACTAATTTTGGTGTTGACATGTTTTTTCTCAAACTCCTGGAATCCAAAAAATGGGGAAACTTGCCTAGTTTTGGCGTTGACATGTGTTTTCTCAAACTCCTGGAATCCAAACAATGGTGAAAATTGACTAGTTTTGGTGTTGACGGACTGAAACTTACACCCACTCTCCCCAAATATAGCAAAGCCATGACGAGTCATTCTAAGTTGCTCCCAACCCCCCCTGAAAGTTTCGAGGTTCTATCTTCTGGGAAAAAATTGGAAAACTGCGAGGCATTCTAAGTTTCAGTCCGTCAATATAATTAAAAATTTGCCGCAAAATCACCGCAAAGGCTCCCCTAAAATCAAATTACAAGCATGAAAATTTGCTTTCTTTGAGTGATCCCCAACCTGATCAATTATTTTGACATAGTTTCTGACATACCATCTGGAAGTCATCTTTCTGGCACATGCTCTGACATCTTTTTTGGCATTCTATTGGCATCTATTCTGACATACCTTTTGGCATATATTCTGGCATTCTTTCTGGCATTCTATCTGGCATATGTTCTCACATTCTTTCTGGCATTCTATCTGGTATATCTTCGGAGATTCTTTGTGGTTGAGGTCCGGCGGGGAACACTCTGATCCGGAGCTCGCGGTTGAGGTCCGGCAGGGAACACTTTGATCCGAAGCTTGCGGTGGAGGTCCGGCGGGGAACACCTTGATCCGGAGCTTGCGGTGGAGGTCTGGCGGGGAACGCTCTGATCCTCTTGCTGTTCGGGTCCGGTGGGGACCACCGCGATCACGAGCTTGCAGTTGAGGTCCGGCGGGTAGCACTCTTATATCCTGGGCTTGCTGTTCGGGTCCGGCAGGGAACTCGGCGATCTAGCGCTTGCAGTTGAGGTCCGGCGGAGGAGGAGGCGCAGGAGCAGGAGGCGGGAGGCGGGAGGCGGGCGGGACAGCTGACATAAAATCTAACAACCCTCACCTGACAGGTGGGGGAATTTCAAATTTTCTATTTCAAAGTCGATTGAAATAACAAAAATTAGGCTTCGAAGGTTCCCCCAAATTCAAATTAATTAAAAGAGCCTTAATAAAAAAGACTAAGTTTTTCTATTTCAAAATCGATTACATTCCTTTTCAAAATCTAATTAAAGTATTGCCAAAAAATTGACTTCGAAGAATCCCCTAATATCAAATTAAAAACCCGAATGAAACACCAATTTTTTCTATTTCAAAAGCAGTTCTTTTTTTTGAAAAAATGTAATTGACGTATGACTCATGACCAAAAATTGATTTCGACGACTCCCTATAATATCAAAGTAAAAATACTCAGAAAAATATTGCAAAATCATGCAAAATTGATGATTTTTTTTTGAAACTAAATTAAGATATTGGCCGAAATTGGATTTCGAAGGTTCCCCTAACATTAAAAAGCAAAATTTTTAGTACAAAAAAAAACAACTAAAATTTTCGAATTTCAAGGACGGACCCTAGTAAAAAAACACCCCCGGTGTTGACTATTTTTTTATCATTGGGAGATGAAACCCTCAAATGGGACCCTCAATTTTATTCCCCACCTGCCAGGTGAGGGTTGTTAGATTTTACAGAGCTGTTCTCCTCCTCCGCCTCCTCCTCCATCTCCTCCTCGTCCTCCTCCTCGCAGTCCAGATCCCAGTGGGCACTGCCGGACCTCCACCGCGAGCTCCAGATCCCAGTGGGCACTCCGAGCTCCAGATCCCCGTGGGCACTGCCGGACCTCCACCGCGAGCTCCAGATCCCAGTGGGCACTGCCGGACCTCAACCGACTTCCAGATCGCAGTGGGCACTGCCGGACCTCAACCGCGACTTCCAGATCCCAGTGGGCACTGCCGGACCTCAACCGCGACTTCCAGGTCGCAGTGGGCACTGCCGGACCTCAGCCAAATAGAATGCCAGAAGATATGTCAGATAGAATGCCAGATGGAATGCCAGAAGATATGCCAGAAAATATGCCAGAAGATATGCCAGGTAGAATGCCAGAAGATATGCCAGAAGATATGCCAGATAGAATGCCAGAAGATATGCAGATAGAATGCCAGAAGATTTGCCAGATAGAATGCCAGAAGATATGCCAGAACATATGCCAGAAGATATGCCAGATAGAATGCCAGATAGAATGCCAGATAGAATGCCAGAAGATATGTCAGATAGAATGCCAGAAGATTTGCCAGTAAGAAAATGTATAAATGCCATGGTGGGGATCATTCGAAGTGAAGTATTTTTTTCTAAACGGGATCAATTAAAAATCAAATTGGCCAACTTCAAATTTCCCAAAAAGATCGGACCCTAGTTTTTAATATTTGGGGTACGTTTAGTAGTAGGGAGAAGGTATTAGTGGTGCTTTCTGAATTCGTGGCCTGCCTTTTCATACAACAAGCATCAGTCGACACTAGTGACGTTCCTGAAAGAAGACAAACACTGTTTTTTTGGTTGCAACATATTTTTCCTTTCATATCCACCAGCATTCCAATTTTTGACACTTGCGAGTTCAATCTTCATCGTGAGACATCTCGGTCGAAATGCTATGCTTTCAGATGCTTTCAGGGTGGAAATTTTGGATGGCGACTTGGACGGTTTGGCAGTAGGTGACCATGTCGTTCTGGAGGCCTGGCGTTTTTTTCTTGGTGTTTTTGCCAAATTTGTCAGTTCTTGTCACAATTACAGTACTGTTGATTAATGTTGATTATGTTGTTTTTAAGTTGTCTTTAAATTGTTTTTGTGATTTTCATGAGTCAACTCGCCTATCAAGGCAAACTATGCACTTCTTTCCATTGTCTTCGCCGACTGTGCAGGCTGCTTCAGGATCCTTGCTTCACGCATTGCGAGTCGAAGACGGGAGCTTTTTGGCCGTTCGTGGACGGCGAGTGCAAACCTTTCAGGTTGCGTCTGAAGTTGCAGTACGAGAAGATACGAGAAGGGAGCATCATGGAACGCCCTGGTGACACTTGCCTTTGCCAGGTTGCCCGCAGACTTCCGGCAGCATCACTTGTGCGTTATCCAGCTCCCTTTAGCCTCCAAACTGAGGACTCCATCGACTGTGCATGATTTTTGACGACATATTTTGATTTGTGATTCTGTCACAACCTTTGAAGTCTTGTCAGGCGGACAGGGCAGCAGTTGGGGACCTAGTTCAAAAAAGTCAAGCTGACATCAAGTTTTTCCGCAGCAGATGCAGCTGGCTGCATGTAATGGAGTACTTTGCGGGGCTCATGCAGCCATGTGAAGTACGAGGTAGTGCATCGAGCGCGGCAATTTATTAACCTTGACATAGCAGAGGCCTGTGATGGCTTCGTCTACAATGTCCATAGGATGCCATAGGTGTAAAGACGGAAGGATGCAGAAGGATGCGGAAGGCAGAAGCTCATTAAAGCACCAAATGATTTTAAATCATTTGAAGCGTTGGCCCACTGTTGGCCCATAGCTCTGGCATGCTGTGGCAGGTCGCTGAGACCCTGAGAGAAGATGGACCAGAGGCTTGTGGTGGCTGAATGTTGGAACTGTGGCTGCCACGAGAATAGTCAGTTTCATAATATTTCAAAAATCACATCATACAAATGCAACTTGTATTAGGACCAAAACACACCAAATTGACCGAAAAAGGATGTCCACTTCACATACTTCACGAATGTGTTCTTATGTTTTCTTCACAACAAACAAGACGGCCAAGAACGAACAGATTACTACAAAGATGGGATTTCAAACGTTCTGCAACCAGACTCCATCAAGTACCAGGGTCTTCACTTAAGTCGCATCTTCTTGTTGAAAATGCATCTTGAATGGTGCGCGCAATGCAAAACACAGTTCTGCTTGTACCCTGTGATTCGCTACTTGTACTAAATCATGGACTTGCCATGGCACCATGCTTTTTCCATAGTTGACCTACTGTTGATAGTTCCATACTTAATCCGTGCGGCGTAGAATTTTTAAGATTTGCGGTATTCAATGGTATTCATTTTCGCCTGCACTGAATTGTTACAAAACGCGATGCCCGAGATGTGGCTTCAGCGGCTTGATTTGCTTTAGGGTTTCCACAGTGCCTGCCAGACAAGATGTGCCTTTAGCGGCATGATGTTAACTCGACGTACCACCAAGAAACGCGTGATACAGTGATACTGACAGACACATGGCCTGAGGCCTTCCTTGCAGAACGTTTGATCACCTTTTGCGTCACCGGTATGTCTGTTGCTCGGACGATCTTAGATGCGGATTGGTTCCTAGGAACCAGTGAAGGAACATATTTATAATTTTCAATATATCATAATAGTACAATTATAATAATTATATTATATATATAATTATATATATATTGTTGGCTTTTTCTTTTCTCAGACGACCCACCCAAACTCTGTCTATTGGTCACAGTGGGAGTGATGCCGAGGGTTTGCAGGAAGTAGAAGTAAACATGCAGTACAACTGGTCAGTTCACCCAGTCTGAAAACAAAGGTGCTGGAACTGGAATGTATCAGAAGCTCATCGGACTGCAAGGCCTGTTGAACCAGTATCGCAAGGTAGCTGGATGTAATTGGCACATGTCAGGCTAGGATATGTGCGAAACGCATTGAGCTGACAGGTTTTTGGACCCAGTCCAGGCATGGCAGCTATGAGACTCAAGCAAGAAGATTTGCATCAGACGAGTCAACATATACACCAGACATTAGACTTAGATGCAAAGACCAAAGAACGAACGCGTTTACGATATCAATCAACCACACATTGATCCTGCTATTGCTACTGTTTTAAATATTGAATCCAATTGCTATTGTTTTTCTGCCACGCATTTCTTTACTGCTTTACCTCTTCAGGCTAAGAAGAAAGAAACGACGCCAGCCTCAGGGGTTGGGCCGAGGCTATGATGCGGGATGACTGGCTCCACGCTTCTACAGAATGTCTACGCCTCTCAATGATTTTCAATGTTCATGCTTTGTTGATATTTGTTGAGTGTGCACTGTTGGTGCAGGGAAGTCTCCAACGTGGATGAAAGCGCAGGCAAGCAAAGCAAGCAGAACATAGCATTTCCTGTTGGAATCAGCAAACAGCGATCACACAAGTGGTATATCAAGTATGTAGTGGTACATGCCCACGTTTGATGTGATTATTTGCTTGTGTTTTGTCCTGCCTGTCTGCCTGTCTGCCTGCCTGCCTGCTCAATGTCTTTTCTTGTGGCAGGAGTATTTTTTCAGATTTGTAATTTCTATTTTGCACTGAATGCCATGATGACAGTGGGCAGGAAATGATTCCCCTGAAAGCAGAAAGTTTGGATCTAGCATCGCTCTCAATTCTTGCAGCAGATCAAATCAGCAAGGAATATTGTTGCATAGAGTCTATCATAGAGTCTATCATAGAGTCTATCATAGAGTCTATCATAGAGTCTATCATAGAGTCTGTTAGAGACTGTCTTGTCATTTCCTGCAAAGATTACAAGGCAAGCTTGATGCATTGCCTGAACGCTTACAGGACTGCTTTGTTTCAGGGCCTGGGCATGCGTCAATTGCTGGTGTGAAGGCGGTTTGTGAAACTGGGAGCAGTACGCAGCAATGATTTTTCTTTGGAGGCCATGTCTTGCTACACGAGGAGAAAGCAATTTCCACCGCCATCCATGTGGGTTGCCGCGGGCTCCTCTCTCAAGAAAATGATGGAACATGTGTGTGTGTGTTGAGAGTTTAGTGCAATTGTGTCCATGATTCTTGAAACCTCTCTTCTACATACTCGTACTGTAGTTCTTGTCTTCCCATTCTTCAAAGTTCCTCGGAAAGATTGAGGTCTCTAGATCATGATTCTTATGCGCGAATCAACTGCGCCACTCTGCCGTCTGAAGGGTCGCATCGCTTTTTTTTAAAAGAGCATCTCAAAAAACAAAACAAAAACGGGCTCTTTGTCGACCGTGGCGGCCGTGTCCTCTCAAAGTTCCTTAGGCTTGTCTCAGGGTCTTACTATTGTCCGTTATCATCGTGGCAACGTCTTATAGAGGCCTTCCTGTTTGTGTCTCTCTCAACAGCTACATTTGGCACAGTGATTGCTTCCTTTGCGTAAACTTTGCAAAATAACGACTGGCATCATTGTGACACCCTCCAGCCCCAGTTCCATTACTGTACAGTGCTGTTGGGGCGTTGTGATCCAACTACATCAGTGCAGCGGTTGGCCATGTGAATCCCGAACACAAAAAGAATCAAACACATGAAAAACCGTCAACGAGTATCAAACAATATCACGAAAGCTAGCGGTAGCTAGCTGGAGTTACTCTTGCTTCAGCAAGGGGAGGGGCAGGCCTGAGTCCACAGTGATTTTTCACTCGAACCCCCCCTCCCCCCAAAGCTCCCGGGGCATTTTGAAGCGGTGTTGGAAGCAGATGGTCACTGGCTCAAATCCTGCCAAGTCTCTAGGCAATCTGTATTCATATCAAAATCCCATCAAGTCAATTTCCAATCAAAATTCAAAATCCCATCATGTTTCCCGGCTCATATGAACCTTAGCTTTCGTTCACCCCCTCCTTGGCCCTCAAGTCAAACAAAATCAAAACGCAATAACAAGCAGGACGCAAGCACCTAAAGGCATCAAAAAGCATCAAACGAAACGTTTAGAAAAGCATCAAAAAGCGTTGAAACGCATCAAAACACATTAAAAAACTAGACGATGGTTGGCCCGAGAGCGAAAAAGATGTTTTTCAAGCAGCTCTGAGGATGGTAGTCGTAAAAGATAGTCGGTGAATGGTTGGTGAATTTTATATGAGCTATGGAGGGATAAGGTGTGAAAAGTAAGATTGACTAAGAAGAGGATATTTGGTAAAGGGCATCAGATGACACGTGTCTTGCAACCACAGAGAGACATAGATAGAGAGAGAGAGAGGGAGACGCAGAGAGAGAAAGAGGGAGAGGGTGAGAGAGAGAGAGAGAGAGAAGGAAATTCCTACATGAGGCTCGGTACCATGATGCTGCGAATGTCATGTGTTATTTCATTTTACTATGGTAATTCCTACACACATTGCCGAAAAAGCTCGGTACCATCATTCCTCGGATGTGAAGAAACGCGACGCTTTTATACAGAGACGCTTTTACACACAGAAGCTTTTACACACACACACTTTTACACACAGCAGCTTTTACACACAGACACTTTTACACACAGACGCTTTTACACGCACAGAAACTTTTACACACAGACGCGGACACTTTTACACACAGACCCTTTTACACACATATTGTTTTACACACAGACGCTTTTACACATAAAGGCTTTTACACATAGAAGCTTTTACACACAGACACTTTTATACACAGACCATTTTACACACAGACCCTTTTTCACACAGACACATTTACACGCAGAAGCTTTTACACCAAGACGCTTTTCCACACAGAAGCTTTCACTCACAGACTCTTGTACACACAGACGCTCTTACCGACAAAACCCGTTACACAGAGGCGCTTTTACAGGCCGACGCTTTTACAACACACGAAATGATGCTTTGAAATCGCAGTGAAACGTCGTGGCTCAGAAGTGCCAACCTTAGTACACAGCACAGCGCTGGACACATTCCAATAATTTGATTTACTCCAAGACCAAAAACATCCATCAAAAACCCAGGCCGCTACCGAACTGGCGCAAGAGCCACCTCGGAAATTTCAGATTGCACGATCATGCATATAGTTGTTACACAATGTTATACACAGACTCCTTTACACACAGACGCTTTTACACACAGACTCCTTTACACACAGACGCTTTCAAACACAGAAGCTTTTACACACAGAAGCTTTTACACATAGACGCTTTGGCACACAGACGCTTTCAAACACAGATGCTTTTACACACAAACTCCTTTACACACAGACGCTTTTGCACACAGACACTTTTACACACAGACTCCTTTACACACAGACGCTTTTACACACAAACCATTTTACACACAGACACTTTTACACACAGAAGCCTTTAAACACAGAAGCTTTTACACACAGAAGCTTTTACACATAGACTCCTTTACACACAGACGCTTTTACACACAGAAGCTTGTACACGCAGACGCTTTTGCACACAGACGCTTTTAC